CTTTGCATCGGTAAAAAACCGATTCATTCATATAAAATCCCCTCATCTTGTCAACGCTCAGCAGAGACGATCTTTGATATTTGCTTCGCCACTACGGAGAACGAGAGTCTCAGTTATCAACACACACGGAAGTTGAGGAGAAAGAGAAACACAGCGCACCGAAAAATACCTACAAATCAAACGTTTGGCAACACTTCGGATTGTTCAAGAAAGACGGTGTAATAGTCATTTATGCTATATAGTTGACCGCAGGTCATGGAGAGTAATAAGGTATCCGTAGACCTTTGTATGAGGTATCTTTATTACTTAACAGGTCTACAGCCATGATACATAGATCCGTCCTAGATGCGGACTTGCATACACCCAATCCAACAACAAACAGTATGTAACAATGGTATTCATTTTAGGACATCGTAATAAGGGAAAATCATTTTACCTTTAAAGTCAAGTCATTATATGGGACTGAGTTGAAATGTCCATAGGCACAAATATGGATCTGTAGCAACTACATCAGCACATCTTCAGGCCAAGTCAGTCTGTGAAGCTACCATCCATGAGTTTGAATCATGTGGCAACTTGATGATTCAGCATCAACAGAAATAAGTGCTTGTCAGATTACATTTGAAAAAGTGTTTTTTTTGCTTTCTACATTTTCCATATCCACATACTTCCAACAAGACAAATGATTTGTTATTGAGTAAACCGTTAACGGATGTGGGCATAAATCCACGGCGGCCAATCTCCACAGAGCACACTCTTTAATTTCCAGCCTGAACACTCGGCCTTGAGCTGCTAGTTCACAATGTCTAAGTTTTTCCAATTACTCTGTGCACTCCACATGCTACCATGCCACACTGAGCTTTACAGGGTCTGCTGAGTGTTAAACCTCGGGTCAGGTCCTAATGCACGCTGATGCTAACAATCTTTCACATTAAGCGAAGCTGCTGCCACACACCTGCTACCACTCCACGCTCATCTGCCAATTTCCAAGTTTCTATCCAGCGCTTTAAAATCCAGAGGTAATTTGGAGCAGGTTGGGGTTGGACCTATCATGCAAATGCACTTTTTTATGTCTTTTATACATAATTATGTGTCCCTGGTGTGTCGGGGGACTCACGCAGCGTCTGAAAACAAAACCCTATCTCTTTTCCTCCGTACCCAAATCTCTAAAAAGGGGGGAACAACGGAGCTGACCCAGATTTGCGTCTGGCTTTACACCCACGGCCCTATCAATCAATCAATCAATCAATCAATCAATCCATCATCCATCCATCCATCAATCAATCAATCAATGTTTATTTATATAGCCCAATATCACAAATGTTACATTTGTCTCAGTGGTCTTCACAGTTTGTACAGAATATCAGTATGACAATACGACACCCTCTGTCCTTAGACCCTCACATCGTACAAGGAAAAACTTCCGGAGAAAACCCACAGTTTAAAGGGAAAAATGGGAGAAACCTCAGGGAGAGCAACAGAGGAGGGATCCCTCTCCCAGGACGGACAGACGTGCAATAGATGCTGTGTGTAAATTGAGATAACACATTTGCAACATAGGTAGTCCAGATGTTTGGAAATACATGTGTGTATAATAGGAAGATGAATCCACGAGGATATCCATCCAGGACTTATGATTATTATACACACATGTATTTCCAAACATCTGGACTACCTATGTTGCAAATGTGTTATCTNTCTACAGGTGAAAAATTTCTTTTGCGACACATTTTATCGCAAGAAGTGTAGCAAAGGTCAAGACCGCAGATTTCGTCGATTTATGCTGCCACAGAGCAGATTCGTCAAGTTTTAATGACTGATTTGAGAGGTTGTAATAACCAAGTTGCAGTTGTAATGGAAAATATATTTAAAAAAATATGTATTTTTCTGCAAGTGAACATTTCATCACTAAGTTCATTTTTTTATACAAGCCACAAAACTTTTTTTTCTTCTTCTGTGACTTCACATTTTTTCACAGTTACATGGATATTTTATACAAGTGTAAATGTATATGCACACAAGCTCAGATTTTTTTTTCTGCAAGTGCTCACATCAGGTTTTACACGTTTTTTGCACCATATCTACCTTCATAAAAAAGCACGAGTCCAATCATTTTAGCCAGCCCGGCTAAAGTAACTGGATGGCCTACCTGCCTGTCAGCCTTCCATCTGTGCACAAACTTATCTCGTGCCCTCATTGGTCATGTGGGCGTTCGTGCGTGTTGGAGGAGCGGCTCTGTAAGGAAGTGGCAGATTTGTCAAATTATTGCGCATTCGAGCTGGTTTCTCCAAAATTACCTACCCCACCTTTAATTTTTTAGAATTTTTTTTTACATTTTGAAAAAAACCGTTTTCAACATATTGATGCAAAGATCCAACCCTCTCTTACCTGCCCTGCAGCTGAACGACCTATCCTACCTTTATTTCCTCCCACCTTGACTACTGTAACTCACTTCTCTACGGCATCCGCTCCCTCTCCCTCGATAGACTCCAAATTGTAAAAAATATAGCCACCCGACTCCTCACACACACCAGATCGTGGCACCACATTACACCAGTCCTCAAATACCTTCATTGGCTTCCCGTCTCCCAACTGATCCCAACGCATCAACTACAAAATACTGGCCTTCACCTATAGCCCTCCATCCATCTGAAAAAGTAGCCTGAGTGTCCGGATGCATTTACATTGAAAAGCTTTGCAGAAATGGCCACATGGGGGCGACAGCTATATTCAAAATACTTTCCACCAGATTTAATTTAAAT